TCCTCCTCCTCGTCATATACGTACACCGATGTATTTGCATATGTATTTATCCTTGTCTACATACATGCATACATACATACATACATACATACATACATACATACATACATACATACATACATACATACATACATACATACAGACATACATACATACATACATACATGCATACATACATACATACATACATACATACATACATACATGCACACATGCATACATACATACATACATACATGCATACATACATTCATGCATACATACATACATGCATACATACATGCATACATGCATGCATGCATGCATGCATACATGCATACATGCATGCATGCATGCATACATACAAACAAATAAGCATACATACATACATACATACATACATGCATGCATTACATACATACATACATACATGCATGCATGCATGCATGCATGCATGCATGCATACATACATACATACATACATACATACATACATGCATACATACATACATACATACATACATACATACAGATATACCTACATACATACATACATGCATACAAACAAACAAACAAACAACCATGCATGCATATATACATACATACATACATACATATGAATATATGATCACACGCATATATATACGTATATATATATGTGCTCGCCCCCCCCCCTGTGATCATACATTTCGCCTTCTTTCTCATCCTCCTCGTCGTCGTCCTCCTCCTCATCATCATCCTCATCGTCGTCGTCGTCGTCCTCCTCCTCCTCCTCCTCATCCTCCCCCTTTTCCTCCCCTCCTCCTCCTCCTCCTCCTCTTCCTCCTCCTCCTCGTCATCATCATCATCCTCATCCTCCTCCTCCTCCTCCTCATCCTCCCCCTCTCCCTCCCCACCCTCTCCTTTCAACCTGTCTCCTCCCCACATGTTCATACACAAACCAAGTCTTCGACACTGCAAAGCACTTCCACGGCGCTACTCTGGAGGGGCATCCAAAAAAGGATGCCCCTCTGTGGCGGACGCGGGCCCAGGAGGGAACCCAAAAAACGGGTTACCATCACTGTGCCCGAACAGAAGGCCACATGGTCGGACGCCTGTTACGCAAGGACACCAGCAACGGCTCTTCCAGGGACTGTTTGTCTTTAACGCTCTCTGTGATTGTGTTTGAGCTTTTCCAGCTTTTCCGAAAGATTACCCTCGTGAAAAACCTTCCGTTTTCCAGCTTTTCCAGCTTTTCCCAGAGACTACCCTGGTGAAAAACCTTGTGTTTTCCAGCTTTTCCAGCTTTTCCAGCTTTTCCCAGAGACTACCCTGGTGAAAAACCATGTGTTTTCCAGCTTTTCCAGCTTTTCCAGCTTTTCCCAGAGATTACCCTGGTGAAAAAACGTGTGTTCTCCAGCTTTTCCAGCTTTTCCAGCTTTTCCCAGAGACTACCCTGGTGAAAAACCTTGTGTTTTCCAGCTGTTCCAGCTTTTCCAGTTTTTCCCACCTTGTCGTTTCCAGCTTTTCCAGCTTTTCCAGCTTTTCCCAGAGACTACACTGGTGAAAAACATTGTGTTTTCTAGCTTTTCCAGCTTTTCCAGCTTTTCCCAGAGACTACCCTGATGAAGGTGTTTCACCAGGGTTGTCTCTGGGAAAAGCTGGAAAAGCTGGAAAACACAAGGTTTTTCACCAGGGTAGTCTCTGGGAAAAGCTGGAAAAGCTGGAAAACACAATGTTTTTCACCAGTGTAGTCTCTGGGAAAAACTGGAAAAGCTGGAAAAGCTTGAAAACACCAGGTTTTTCACCAGGGTAGTCTCTGGGAAAAGCTGGAAAAGCTGGAAAACACAATGTTTTTCACCAGGGTAATCTCTGGGAAAAGCTGGAAAAGCTGGAAAAGCTTGAAAACACAAGGTTTTTCACCAGGGTAGTCTCTGGGAAAAGCTGGAAAAGCTGGAAAAGCTAGAAACACAAGGTTTTTCACCAGGGTAGTCTCTGGGAAAAGCTGGAAAAGCTGGAAAAGCTGGAAAACATAAGGTTTTTCACGAGGGTAATCTTTCGGAAAAGCTGGAAAAGCTCAAACACAATCACAGAGAGCGTGAAAGACAAACAGTCGAAGACAGCAGCAGACAATCACAGAGAGCGCGAGAGACAAACGCAAAGAGAGAACAACAAAACGAGAGAGAGGGATAGAGCGAGAGAGAAGGAGAGAGGGAGAGAGCGAACACGGAAGACGGAGATGTATGATCACAGGGGGGGGGCGACCATATATATATATATATATATATATATATGTATATATATGTGTGTGTGTGTGCATGTATATATATATATACATATATATATATATACATATATATATATGAACATGTGTATATATATAAATATATATATATATATATATATATTCAAATGTGCATTCACATGCACATGCGGACGTACATGATTGATGTACTTACTTACGTCGCACGCATATACATGCATATGCACATGCACGTGTACATATTCATCTGTATATGGCGGTTTCCCGATTGTTTTGTCACAGTCCTCTGGGTTCCCGGTGTCCCCCGGCGCCAAGAACGATCCCAACAAAACCTTCCTCGCGGCCACTATCAAACGGAAAGCCCTTGTAATGAGTTCATGTCATCAACTCCTCTATATTTTGATGCTCATTTGAAAACTGTCCCAATAAGGGCTCGGGCCCACGGGACACCACGGGACACCGCTGGCCACCGCCGGTCGGGCGGGAGGGGGAGAATCATTTGCTTCGACTTCGCCCTAGCAACGGCGGGTTAATTCCTCTCGCGCGCCCACGCAGCATCCGTTGCCCGCACGCACGACACGAACGAAACGAAACGATTTCCCGCTTGGGGGTCTCCGTTCACCTGCGATCTCAACCCCCAACCTCCGATAGTGATTTATTTACCTATACGACCACCTTTCGGGTGATAAGGAGGTTGTGGGGGGGAGGGGGGGAAACCAACATCTAACTCAATCGATCTCACTATCGATCTCACTCAACGGGACACAACGGGACACCACGGAGTTCTCTTTGCGTTGTCAGGCCTTTGGCCCTAGACTTGAGGGGTGGCGAGGAGAAGGAGGAGGATGAGAGGGACGAGGAGCGTTTCGCTAGAGACATCCTCACAGAATGGGGATGTTGTATACGACTTTGATTATCATCAATTTTGAAGCTTTCACCCGAGACCTTCCCAGACAAACGAAAGTATTGGAGATCGGACGTCGGATATCCAACATGCTGCTGGGGAGCGTTTCGCCTGAGACATCCTCACAACATGGGGATGTTGGACAAGTTGTTCTTCGACGCTGGTTTGCTGGTTCTCAAAAATGAGGCTTTCGCCTGAGAACTCATCAGAAAAATGAAATGTTGGAGATCTCGCCTTGGATATCCAACACGTTGTGGAGGAGCGTTTCGCCTGCGACATCCTCACAACATGGGGATGTTGGAGGAGTTGACTTACGACGTTGGTTTTCACATATGCAACTTTCGAAAGGGACATCCTGAAAAGACTGAAATGCTGGAGATCGGACGTCGGATACCCAAAATGGTGTGTGTGTGTTTGTGTGTGTTTGTGTGTATGTGTTTGTGGGTGTGGGTGTGGGTGTGGGTGTGCGTGTGCGTGTGCGTGTGTGTGTGTGGGTGTGTATGCGTGTGATGTGTGTGTGTGTGTGGGAGAGAGGGGGGGGAGTTTCGCCTGGTACATCCTCACAACATGAGAATGTTTGAGAAACTGTTGTTCGACGCTGGTTCTTTTCGAAAACAGTTTTCGCCGGAGGCACTCTCAAAACTTAAATGTTGGAGATCGGGCGTCGGAAATCCAAAATGGTGTGGGGAGGGGGGGGGGGCGTTTCGCCTGAGACATCCTCACAAAATGGGGATGTTGGAGAAGATGTGTTGTGGACGCTGGTTCTCAAAACTGAAGCCTTCGACTGGGGTCTCCTCGGAAAGGTGAAATGTTGGAGATCGGGCGTCGCATATCCAACATGGTGTAGGGGACGTTTCGCCTGAGACATACATCTCCACAGCATGGAAATGTTGAAGGAGTGCTTTACGAGACTGGCTCTCAAAAATGAAGCTTTCGCCTGAGACATCCTCAGGATAATCATATGTGGAAGATAGGACATCGTATATCTGACATGGTGTGGTGGGGGCCTTTCGCCTGAGGTATCCTCGCGTCATGGGAAGCTTTCGCATGCGACACTCCCAAACATTTGAATGTGAACTCGGTGTGGCGAAGCGTTTCGCTGCAGGCATCCTCATTCGAAAGGATCTGTTCAGCGAGCTCCCGATATGCTCAGCGAGCTCCCGAATGCGACGTACATTCAAGAGCTCGTCTGAGATACCCTGACACATTGAGGCGCTACCAGAGAAGTCTAACGGCATGCAATGTTTACGTACGTTCCGTGCAAAATTCGTGTGTCCCTCAAGTGTTCAACAGAAGTTTGACGCATATGCCTCGCATTGTGGTCCCGCCAGAGAAGCCTCCGTGCGCAATCGGCTTCTCCGAGCTCTCCTGTGGGCAACCTCCCCGGCACCGCCAATGGGGTTGCCGTCTCTGGAATATGGTAGCCCCGGCCCACCGGGCGACCCCAGCACCCGGGGTCGCCCCGCCACCCTCATTTTTTGTTTGTTCGGCGCTCTCACAATAGCGCCGGAATCGAACGAAGGCCAGGCAAGACCGTGGCTCCAAGGGAGGGCGCTAAGAAAAACAGGAAGAAATCACATTGCGAAGGACGCCCGGCAAGACCACGGCGACGACGCAGGATGAGGCCAAAAAACACATGACTAAGCAAACAGAAAAAAACGGCATGCACGAGAAGAGAGAGATGGGGGGGAGAAGGCAGAGGGGAAACAACGGCAGAGCTTCGAGCGTGAGAACTTCTGGCGGAGAGAAAAACGGACAGAATTTCGAAACTAACATGTCGGAGCGTGTCCTTCAAGGCACGGCCGTGCGCGTGCCGGCGGCAGGCCGTTCAAAACGTGGGAAACCATGGACGAGGCGACGAGGAGCGTCCCGAGATCAACGAAAACACACGTACTTCTCCGAGTGTAATACGAGCACTCTTCTGCCATCCTTCTCCTCCTCCTCCTCCACCTCCTCCACCTCCTCCTCCTCTTCGTACAGCCTCAGGCAAACCTGGGCATGCGGCATCTCTACGCCCAGAGTTGCGGGATGTCGTCTCGAGCGAAACTGGCAGGATCACCTCATGCGCGGCATCGGATCGCCTCGTGCGCGGCATCTCCGAGCTCAGAAGTGCGAGGATGTCTCAGGCGAAACGGTCGGAGGACCTCAGGTCACGGCATCTCCGACCCCACAGATGCGAGCATGTTGCAGAAGAAATGGGCCAGACCACTTCTGGCGCAGCATCTAAGAACCATGGCCTGCGAAGATGTCTGAAGCGAGACGGGTCGGACCATCTCAGATCAGGTCGTCTCGGAACACGGACTTGTGAGGATGTCTCAAGCGAAACGGGCTGGACCTCCTCAGCATTTTTAGATTGTCTCAATGCGCGAAACCCTAGGGCGGCACACATTCTTATCACAACAATGCCCCCCGGCACCAGCCGGGCAACCCGGGAACACTCCACAACAAAACCTTTATGACGGCAACCAACGAGAACCTCCCATATATTTCTGCACCAGCCTCCGCATCTACATCTACACCTACATCTACATGCACAACCACATCGACGTATACATCTGCATACGCATCTACGGCTACATATACGCCTGCATGTCGATGCACATCTGCACTAACATCTGCATCTACATATACATCTACATCTACATCTACATCAACAGCTGCATCTGCATCTGCAAACATGTTCCGATCCCTCAGTGGGCCGCTCGCGGGCGGGTCGCGCGGAGCGTCACGGGTAGGCCGCGGCGCGGACAGGGGTCGATTGCGACCAAACACAAACAGGATTCTACATCACGAACTCCATATTCGGTTTCCCACAAGGCTGGACCTAAACGTTGTTTTTCGAGCTGTTTCCGCTTTGCTGTTCGTTTTGCTGTACCTGTTTTCCTGTACCTCCCTGCCAAAACGAAAACCGAAACACAGCCGAAGTCCAGCAAAACAGCGTTTGGGTCCAGCCCCGGTTTCCCAACAATTCTTCGCTCGGACGCAGATGCTTGCGAGGTTCAAAGAAGAGGCGGTGGCTCGAACTTGAGGCTGGACCCGCCTTACTGTGCCATGGCTCGATTCCAACACGTTTTGTTTCCACCGCGGTAAACGACGAATGGCGTCGTCAAAACATGAGGCGAAAATGTCCTTGCCACTCTTTTGAGGCGGGGATTTCCGCCATGACTTTGCGCGCCCTTTTATGGTGCACCCCAGACATAATTCGATTTCGGGGATCAGCCAATGCACGGCGGATCCAAAGTGAAGGCGGCCTGAAGGCTATGCGCGAACGACCTGGATCGCTTTGAAACCCAAGCCCGAACGACCCTGATATTGGCTTCAGGGCTATGCGCGAACGGCCCGGATCGCCCTGAGGCCCAGGCCCGAACGACCCGGATCGGTCTCAAAGCTATGTGTGAACGACCAAACTCGCCCTGAGGCCCGGGCCCGAACGACCAAGATCGCCCTCAGGGCTACGCGCGAAATAAAACCCTGAATCGCCTGGAAACCCAAGCCCGAAAAAGACGGATCAGCCTCAGGGCTACGCGCGGACGACCCAGATCGCCCTAGGGCCCGCAAGGCTTAACCCGCTTCACATTGCGACCTCCTTTCCATGTATCCGATGGAGTCCCGGTTCAGATTCTAGCTCCTTTCCAAAGATCTGACGGAGTCCCCGTTCACGTTGCGGCCCCTTTCCACGGACGTGGAGACCTGGTTCATGCTGCGGCACCCTTCCAAAAATCTGACAAAATCCTAATTCAGATTCTGCCTCCCCATGGATCTGACGGGGTCCCGGTTCAAATTACGGCCCCCTTTCCAAGAATTTGACGGAGTCCTGGTTCAGATTGTGGCCCTTTTCCAGGGATCAGATGGAGGCCCGGTTTAAATTGTAGTTCCCTCCCAAGGATCAAACGGAGCCCCGTTCACGTTACGGCCTCTTTCCACGGACCCCACGGAGCCCCGATTCAGATTGCGGCATGCTTCCAAAATTCTGACGCAGTCATGGTTCAAATTGTGCCCCACCCGCCATGGACCTGATGGAGCCCAGGCTCAAATTGCGGCCCCCATGCAAGGATTGGACGGAGTCCTGGTTCACATTGTGCACTGTTGCAAAGATTTAATGGAGGTCTGGTTCAGATTCTGGCCCCCTTCCAGGGACCTGATAAGTCCGGGTTCAGGTTGCGGCCCCCTTTAGGAGCACCCCTCCATCAGACTTCTCAAGACGGCCGCGGAGGTCCCCAAGATAAGTGGTGGGGCTACCATTCGGGCGCTGGCACTGGGGCCTTCAAGCATCGCGGGGACAATGAAAGGAAGGAGGGTGTCAACAACAGGGGCCACTTGGGCCTTCGGTGGAGTTCCCGATGGGGCCGCGCAACGCATGAGGTGTGCCGAAATTTGGAGTGGGACCGCATGCGGGCGCTGCCCCTGGAGCCTTCTGTGGAACTCCTTGTGGCATAATCCTATGGGGCCGCGGACCGTGTGAGGGGGTCGCCGAAATGGAAGGTGGAACCCCATGCGGGCGCTGCCACTGGGGCCTCCGGTGGGGCCCCCTGTGGGGCAACGACCGTGTTAGGGGGTTCGACGGGATGGAAAATGGAACCGCATGCGGGCACTGTCACTAGGGCCTTCGGTGGGACTCCCTATGGGGCCACGAACCATGTGAGGGGTGCACCGAAACATCGGGTGGAACCGCATGCGGGCGCCGCCACTGGAGCCTTTGGTGAAGCTCCCTATGGGGCCACGGGGCGCATGAGAGGTGTGCCGAAATGGGGTGTGCGACCGCATGCGGGCGCTGCCAGTGGGGCCTGTCCCACGACGCCGCTGCAGTGCGGCGCATGCGGGCGCATGCGGGGGCCGCCGCCGGAGCTCCCTGTGGGCCCACGAAGCTATGGGCCCACGAAGCGTGTGAGGGGTGCACTCAAAGTGGAGCTGAATGCGGGCGCAACCACGGGGGCTTTCGATGGGGCTCCCTATGGGGCCACCGAGGTGTGAATGCAGCTGCATGCGGGCGCCGTCACTGGGGTCCTCGGTGGAGCTCCCCATGGGGCCACGAACCGTGCGAGGGGTGTGCCGAAACGGTGGTGGCGCCCACATGCGGGCGCTGCCACTGGGCCATTCGGTGGAGCTCCCTATGGGGCCACGAACCGTGACAAATGTGCACCGAAATGGGGGCGGAACCGCATACGGGCGCTGCCACTGTGACCTTTGGTTGAGCTCCCTATGGGACCACCACGCGTGTGAGGGGTGTGCCGAAACGAAGGTGTGGCCCCCACATGCAGGCTGCGCCACTGGGACCTCATGCAGGGCCCCCTGTGGGGCCGCGAGGCGTGTGGAGAGGTGTGCCGAAACGGAGGTGACGCCCCCTTGCGGGCTGTGCCAGGACCTTGTGGGACCTCGAACCGTGCGAAGGGTGTGCCACATGGGGCGCCCACATGTGGGCTGCACAAATGGAGCCTCAGCTGGAGCTCCCAATTGGGCCGCGCATCATGTGAGCGGTGTGCCCAAACCTGGGTGACGTCCACATCGGGCTGCGCCAATGGGACCTTCGGCGGAACTCCCTATGGGGCCACGAAACGTGTGAGGGGTATGCCGAACCGGGGGTGGCGCCCACATGCGGGCGGCACAAATGGGACCTTCGGCGAGGCTCCCTGTGGGGCAACGAATCGTGTGAGCGGCGTGCCCAAACCTGGGTGGCCCCCACATGCGGGCGGCGCCAATGGGACCGTAGGCGGAACTCCCTATGAGGCCACGAAATATGTGAAGGGTGTGCCGAAACGGGGTTGGCGCCAACACGCGAGCAGCGCCAATGGGACCTTAGGCGGAGCTCACTATGGGGCCACGGAACGTGTGAGGAGTGTGCCGGTGGCGCCCGCATGCGGGCGGCGACAGTGGGACCTTAGGTGGAGCTCCATGTAGCTCCACGAATCGTGTGAGGAGTGTGCCGAAACGGGAGTGATGACGATGATGGTGATGATGACTGCCATGATGACGATGACGTTGACGACGACGAAGAGGAGGATATGAGGAGGATGTGGTGATGGTGATGGTGATGGTGATGGTGATGGTGATGGTGATGGTGATGGTGATGGTGATGGTGATGGTGATGGTGATGGTGATGGTGATGGTGATGGTGATGGTGATGGTGATGGTGATGGTGATGGTGATGGTGATGGTGATGGTGATGGTGATGGTGATGGTGATGGTGATGGTGATGGTGATGGTGATGACGGGGATGGGGATGGTGATGGTGATGATGATGGTGATGGTAATGCTGATGATGATAATGGTCAGAATCATGATGATGACGATGCTGATGGTGATGATGACGATGTTGATGATGATGAACAAGATGATGCTGATGATGATGATGGTGGTGATGATGAGGATGATGGTGATGATGATGGTGATGACGACGGTGATGATGGATGAGTACGATGATGGTGATCATGATGGTGATGATGAGAATAAGGATGAGGAGGAAGAGGAGCATCATGATGATGATGATGATGATGATGATGATGATGATGATGATGATGATGATGATGATGATGATGATGATGATGATGATGATCATGATCATGATCATGATCATGATGAGAGTGATGATGGTGTAACGCGGGCCGCTGTCTCTTCAAAACGACGGAGCAGCACCACAGGATGGATGGAACAAATCAACATGTTCTGCAGCATTTTAGTTTAAACGCAAGCGTCTTTGAGGTATCTTGGAGGCAGTGTTTGGAGCCTCTTGGCGGGCGTCTTGGAAGCATCGTGGAGGCCTCTCGGGGGCACATGGAACGCAACGTTTGGGCCCCTTGGGGGCTTCCCGGAGGCCTCTTGGGAGCCTCTTGGAGCCTGTCGGGGCCTCTTTGGGGCATCTGGGGGGCTCCTGGAGCCTC